CTTTAGTAGTATACAGTAAATTTGGTCTCTGAAGACCAGACTTGGGTTATATCATAATGCGTGTGTGTTTGTTTGAAAAAGTCATCCATGTTGCATCTGCACGTTGGCCTCACCATCTGCACAGCACATGCAGATAAATCTCACAAATTGGACTGTTTGGCAAACAGTGTTGGTGGTGGGTAGAGAGTGTGTGTGTTTGTGCGAATAAGTCTTTTTTTTGATTGGAATATTAATTCATTATGTGTCGAGTGAATGTGTAGGTCTAGTTCCCACGTCCCAAGAGAAAGAGTGTTTTGTTTCCTCAAATTCTACCCTTCTTTCAGGTGAGCCAACCACTCGCACCTTGATTTTTAACTTGCGCATTGTAATTCCATGAACAAAATGTGGTATTTACATAAACAGGCAAAAGAAAAGCAACCACCAATTTTGTTCCCATTATGTCAAAATATCCTCAGTGGCCTTATGCAACATCATAACATCACAGCCTTTTGAAGATTAGCTTTGCTTCAAAGCCCCGCTCTTTTTCTGGCCTATTTCTTCCAGACACGGTCTTAATTAATATCTATTTCTATGCCTGGGCTTAAACGTGCATTAAGGGCAGCCAAGAATTCATCTCCTTTAATCTGTGCAAGGAACTGCGAGGAACCTTTTATGTCGTTTTTGTTTTCATCTGTCTCTCTTGGAGAGACAAGAATGGTATTTTTTGAAGTTGGCTGCCGTTCCCAACTGGAGGGCTTCATAAAGCGTGTTTCTAGACGCTTTGGTCTGTTTTGCGGCGCCTTACATTCAGAAGGACCTGAAAAAAGGTGAAGATTTGATTTCCAGCGCTGCCACAGTCTGAGAGAGATATCTGAGGTGAAAGATGTTTTTCTGCCTTTGTTGTTGAGGAACAGGAAGATGTTAGGCAGTTGTAAACATGCAAAGATGTGTGTTCGAGTGTGAGACGATGGGGAAAATATTAACACGTGCATATACACACAGATTCTTGTCAGAAGTGTTTCATCCTTTTCTACTTCACGTACAGAAATACTTACTGTACTACAAGACTCAGCAGTGTGAGTAACACCAGCGCCGCGGTTCCCTCGAGGCGCAGCGTGAACACTGAGAGCCGTTTCGCTCTACCCGGAGGGTCTGTATACTAGGGGGAAAGCAAACACATTTACAAACACTCCCTCTCAAACTCTTTAAGTGCATATTTGACCTGGGTTACAACACTGTCTCCCCCATCCCTCACTCTGTGTCTCATCCACTGTTTTAAATAATGGATCTGCCTGCTAGAGAGAGGCCTATTATAGCCTGATTTCACCCAGGGGAGTTCAGAGAGCCGTGTGAGTGTGTGAGTGTGTGTGTGTGAGTGGCTGGCGGTGTATGTTGGTCTTCATAATCCTGTGAGACTGCCAGCTCTGTGTAGCTTTGTTTCTGAAAAATATCTTTGAATGTTAAGGGACTTCTGTTTGTGTGCATCCTTTTTGGTAAATATATACCATGTATTGTTTATCTGTTTGTATGTGTGTGTTTGTGTACAACAACAGTGTATGTATGTTTAGCTGTGATAGAGACAAAATACTAAATTGTGTATATAGCAGCAACAGTACATGCATGTACACTTGCGAAAAATAAGTAGGCTTACCCTTAATTGAATTGAATGCACATGTTGTGTACTTCAAATCTCAAAAGTATACATTTAAAAGGAAAAAAACAACTTTAGAATAATAAAATAAAAGCGTACACTTTCACTTTTTCATATTAAAAGTTAAAAAGTTTGTAATTCAATTAAAACAAATGAGTACACTTGTTTTGATGTGTTGGCCATTTCGAATAGGCTAATAGCAAGATAGCTTTAAAAGCATGTGATCCCACCCTCCCTTCAGAGCGTCTCCAAAGCCACGCCTTCTTCAAAACACAAACGCACACAGCAGTCTGTAAAGAGTTAAAGGGGTCATGAACTGGCTTTTTAAATTTTAGTATATTGTTGTCTGAGGTCAACTTATGACGTTCGCTTGGTTTTTGCATTCAAAAACATCCAAATGAATAAGTAATAGGCTATTTACTACCCTAGTTTTGAGCCTACCTGAAAAACGCTCTGTTTTTATGGGCCTCTCGCACTGAAGACTTAGAAGTAAACGCCCACTGCTGTGAGTGGAGAACAGATTTGCATATTATAATGAGTTTCAATCGGGATCGGCCTAGAACACTGTAATCAGTACATCTCTAGTTTTAAGATAACACATTTTAATATATTCCCAGTCCAGTTTTTATTTGCATACACCATAATTATAAAGAGGCAATATGCAACATGCGGTGATAAGACTGGGACCTATTAGATAATCAGTTGATTGTATTTGGTTATTTGGTTATACTTTGCTTCAGGGTTTGTGTGATGCCTCAGAAAAATGCAAAATTGATAAATCAAATCATGTTAGAGCAGCGATTATGATCCATTTGAATTAAGTGCAAATTTGAAACCGCTCTTTGCCATGGTGCTCAAGGAACCTGGATGTGTTACTGTCATAGACTTGATTTTACTTTTTAGTAAGCAATAAGGTACTCGAGGCAAATGCTGTATTGTGAATATGTAACGGCTGAGGGCGTTTTTAGGCATGACACAAAGCGGGGTCCCTGACCGTGAACAGCAACAACGTTTCAATGTGTAATATGCTTGTAAGTGATAAAAATAAAATAAAAAATCGTTGGGTGAAGCGTCATTGCTGTGTTTAATCATGAATAAAGCACAGCTATTGACCAATCAGAATCAAGGATTGGAACTAACCGTTTTATAATTATTTTTTTTTTATATTATACTGCTCATGTGGATAATATAATGACATTGAAATGCAATATATGTTTTAAAATAAAAGCTGTCAAGTGTACAATTATTTTCATGGAACAATAATGTACTGAATAATAATTAATCTATTCTGTTTTAATTCAATTATAAACTTGAAAATTATGAAAATAGATATTTATTTTTAAAGAATTATTATATAAGATTATATTTACCAGTGTTATTGTTATTTTTTTCAACTTTAAGTATTTGTTGGGTAACTGCTAAGATAATCTAATAAAGAGAAAAAAATAGGAGTATATATATATATATATATTAGGGATGCACGATAACCGATAATTCTTTAAATTTGAAAGCCGATAACCGATATATCGGCCGATAAACTTAAATCCACATTTTTATCTAATTTTGAGAGCCTGATTACAAAAAAAGTCTCACAATTAAATCCATGTCCAAGTTATAGTGTTGTATAGCCGATATGACAGATTTGTGCTTCACATGTTGTACCGAACCGTATTTTCATTTTTTGAAGAGATTTCAATCATATTTCAAGAAATTCAAAAACATAAACAGTGCTCAACAAGTGTCTCAGCTGAAGGGAATAATACATTATTTATCGGCTTTAATATATCGGCCACATTTTCTTACCGATAACGATAACGTTAAAAATGAACATATATCGGCCGATACCGATATGCTGGCCGATATATCGTGCATCCCTAATATATATATATATATATTAAAAGGGCTGATGATTGATGTGATAATAATGCATAATTGGTTGCATTAATACCAACCAATGGTAATATGTTGTTATTACGTTGCTAATATTCATAAAATATACAGTACCGTTCAAAAGTTTGGGGTCAGTAAGATTTTTTATGCTCTTTTTTTTTTTACCTCATATTAATGCTGAATTTATTTGTTGAAATATCATTACAATTTAAAATAACGGTTTTCTATTTGAATATATTGTGATGTAATGTAATCTGACAATGCTGAATTCTTCAGTGTCACAAGATCCTTCAGAAATCATTCTAATTGGCTGATTTGCTGCTCAAGAAACATTTCTTATTATTATCACAGTTGAAAACTGTTGTGCTGCTTAATATTTTGTGGAAACAGCAATACATTTTTCAGGATTCTTTAAAGCTCAAAACAACATTTTTCTTTTTTAAATAATCTGTGTAACAGTATAAATGTCTCATTTGATCAAGTTAATGCATCCATTGTGATTGCAAAGAACATTATTAATCCCAAACCAAAACTGTAGTGTCAGTTTCCAGTTTTCTATAAAGGGTTGAGTTGAGTTCTATAGTGATGTAAGAGGTGTTTCATATCATGTGTTGCGTTTACTCACACTGCATTCATTCATTCTGCTCTTTTGCACATTGATACATATGAGCCTCAGAGTGCGCAAGAGAATGAACGAGAGAGAAAATAGATGTTGCTCTGGCTGCATGTCACCGTCAGATGCAATGAAACATGGATATGAATCAAACGTGTGCGAGATCCGCCCTGCCTTCATTAGCCCGTACATATTTTCCCATGTAAAGAAGATTTGAATATGAAATTGAAAGAGTGTGCCCACTGAGGCATGTGTGTACACAAGGCAGCCACGTCCTAAAACTCATCTGTGTGTTCAGTCAGGTAGAGAGATGTTTTTCTCTTTTAAATTGCCACTTCTGCTGTTTTCCCATGATAATGACGACTAGAAAAAAAGCCAGAGAGCGATGTGCAGGGAAACACTGAGACAAAGTGATGTGGAGAGGCACTGCCATCCAATAGAGTTTTAAATCTTGCATACTCATTTAAGGACAATTCACACTTAGATTCCTCAACCGTTTGCATGGCAGATATTAGAAATCTCGTCGGTCGCATGTGAGTGCTGGATTTTTTTGAGGGAAGGAGTGGATATTTCTGGATGATATCTTACGGTGTAAAATTCCCCCGTGTCTCATGTCAGGTTTCTTGAGTGTTGTCTTGTGGCGGGAACATGAAAGTGAGGTGATGTTACACGAGTGAAAGTGAGAAGACCACAAAAAATAATGAATGCGTGAAATGGAGGAGAATGCGTGATACAAAATCGAAGGAATGAATCGGAGACAGAAAAGGAGTCAGACAGGGTGTAAAAAGCAGAGATTTATGCAAATCATTATGCAAATGTGGGGCACTGCTGAGGTAAAATTGCCCTCTTTCCAATCAGAGAATCAAATCCATCACTAACCTGCTGCTAGAGAGGAACTGTACGGAGACTGGCGAAGGAATGGATGGATAGAGGAAAGCTAAATGACTGCCCCATACCCAGAGATAGAGGCTCCCTGCTGGGGGGATAACTGCAGGCTGGGGCCCGTCTCTCCTGGAGCTCTTTGTCTCTGAGACTCCCAATCAGCCAGACTTCAGTCTGCCATCGCCTCTGGAGGGTATTAATGACACCTGCTACACACACACACACACTGTGATGCAAATCCCTCTTTTGGGTTCGTGCTTCCCCTGTTGGTTTAAATTGAAATAGTAATAGCGCTGAGAGATGGCTAGGCAAAGCTTTTGTCTATGACATTATTTCGAATTTTAGGACGTTTTTACAGCTTGTTCTTTTTGGAGCATTGGATTTAGAAACTGCTAAGTTTTCTCCCTTCAGTTTTTAGAGGCATAAATGGAATACACATCATGGAATGGTTTGCTAAACTCCAGAAACGTGGATTTTAGGAGGCAATATTTGTGGGTTAAAAAGTAGGCTAAGTAAAATGTATAATTTACTGCACCTTTTCCAATGAAACACACATTCATTCATTCATTTTTTATTTATTTATTTTTTTGTGCAAAATAAGTGGATTACTATTTTATTTTTCCAGATACCAAAAAATATAAATGATGGTGAATATTATGGCACTGCTGTTGATTTTGGACTAAATTAGAACTTAAATGGCATGCATATATAACTCAAATGAAACTGAATATAGAAAATGAAAAAATACAATTGAAATCAAAATATTGAACAAAACTGTCTATTATCGTTAACATAAAAAAAAGGCTATTATGGCTTATTCGTATTGGTCATATTGTAATGCTATTTCTAGCATTTTGACCAATGAAAAGATCAGTTTGCTCACACAGCCTCTACTTTGTTCCATTTTGAAATGTTGCTTTTGATTTGACCCGGTAAACATCCACCTAACCACCATCTAGACCAACGGGAACCAAGCATACCCTTTGTGACAAGCAACGTTTGCATTGTCCTTAGAAAATTTAGTAGTTTTAAAGGTCCCGTAGCCCCTTTTCACAAGATGTATAATAAGTCTCTGATGTCCCCAGAATGTGTATGTGAATTTTCAGCTAAAAATATCCAAACAGATAATTTTTTACAGCATATTTAAATTGTCAGTTTTTGGGGCCAGGAAAAACGTGCTGTTTTAGTGTGTGCCCTTTAAATGCAAATGAGCTGCTGCTGCCGGCACAGGGGGCGGAGCTTCATGAGCTCGCGTTCATTCTCTCAGGACAATTTCATCTCAAAGAATGATGATAATATCAGAAATTCTCATTAACGGTGTGTTCATTTCGAGTCGGACAATAATACCTACAGAGTCAGAGTGCTTCACAGAGATGGAACAGGTATAGTTTAGTAGTTTAATTGTGGTTATTATAACGTATTTGTCATCTGCTTGTATGTATCCATTATTTATCAATAGCCTACAAGTCTGCTGTTTCGAACCAGGTCTGAATGATGATCAAACATATACTGATGAGTTTAATAAAGTTTATTGTACATCACACAAAAGATGAAGCGTCAGTTTTACTTCAGAAAATCACGGTAAGAGCTGAGTAAACACAGTAAGTTATAAGAAGTGGTAAGTTGAGGGAGCATTCCCGACCCGTGGGCGGACGTTAGTCAAAATACTTTTCTACTGACATCATTAAAGAAGGAAGTAGAGGGATGTAGTCCAAACAGGCCGTTTGATGTAGGCTACTTCTGTTCAATAAAATATCTCGCTTTGCATTGAACTTTGAGCTTTATCATTTTACAGATATTAGCCTATTTATACTCTAACAACACTAAATAAAGTTTGAAACATGGATCACGAAGAACAGGTTCTCTGATCAGCGGTTTACATGTTAGGCTACTAGTTTATTGATGTCATCAAACTATTAATAAACAATTAGTAATTGCTGTTGTGTTTACATTCGTTTAAATCCACAAAGTGTTTGATGGATTCAAAGCAAGTCGCGTCTAATTAGCTCACAACCACATTCTTCTACTTTCTTAGATAACACAGCACTCAGTCCAAACATGAAGATGAAATAAAAATTCATTCCATCCCTCAAGATCAAAGGTACACCTTTCTAATCAAAGGAGATTAAAACTCGCAGTGTGTAATAGGCATGTGTGGAAGTTTAAATTGGTATTTAGTTTGAGGCTGCGCATGCATGGTGAGTTTGTTAAGAGCGAGGGATGATTTGCCAGGTGGTTGTGCTGCACTCTGCGCATTTGCAGATAGACCCTGAATATATTCACCAGCCCCTCTGAAAAAAAAAATCTCCTAGGAATCCGGGCCAAACCTTACACGCTTCCGCTCCTTCCAAACTTGTTTACCTGCTACTGATTTGCCTCTGGAGAGGAAGAGGGCTCGGCGTGCCACGCTCTCCCTCCGTGCCCGCTCCCCCAGCCAAGTCATTTATTTGGTCATTTACCCACTGCTTGCCAACACGTCTCTCAGAAACCAAGAACGACTGCGGGGAGTACGCATAGGGGGAGGTCCCGGGGCGTTCGTGAGCCAAGACACCCAAAGAGAGAGTAAAGGGCTGTGAAAGTTGAATGCTAAAGTAGAACACATGCTCATGCCCATTTGAAAAGAGATTGCATCTTTTTTTTTCTTTTTTTTCAGAGTGAATGAAGAAGCGATTTTGTGAAGAGTGAGGCTGAGAAGAAGACTGCAAGTGATTTTTGGCTCAGCTCAGCACCGCATCCAGCTGCTCCCACGTCCAAACGTGAGTCGCTGCGTTCCAGCAGCTCACATTGTCACAGGAGTTTCACAGATGGTCAGTTAGAGGTCAGGCTGATATGTGCATCGTAGCCAATGAAGCAACCTTTCCTTCTTTGTTCTTCACCCAAAAAAATAAAAATAAAAAAAAATCATAAGATTAGGCTATGATTTTGAAATTCATAATTGTTTTTAACAGACGTGCCACTTCAAGTTATTGGCCTTTAACTATTTAAAAGCTTTCAACAAGCTAAAGCTTCCAACAAGGGGTTTTCAAGCTGGGCTCGCAGCAGGCCACAAGGGGGTGTGCAAAATTAAGTTAATCTTGTTTGTTTGTTTATTTTACAAAATCTTTTTTTAGGGCTGTCAAAGTTACTTAAGATAATAATGAAATAAGTTTAGTGCAATGATATTTTTAAATGTTTTATATTCGTCAAATTCAGTTATATCACTGTAAAAAATATTTTCAAGATTTGTTATCACAACATATTTTCTTTTGTCAAATCAACTTTTAATAATTTATTTAGTTGAGATAACTTATTATTTTGAGTTTCTGGTGATTAAATTAATCTCCTTCATTGTATTAACTCACTTTTTCCAGTTCAATCAACTTAAAATTTTAAGGCAACCCAGGTTACTTACTTTTTTAAGTTAAACCAACAATATTTTTTTTACAGTGTAGTAATCACAACATTTTTTCTTTTGTCAAATCAACTTAAATAATTTATTTAGTTCAGATAACATATTATTTTGACTTTCTGATTATTAAATCATTCTCCTTCATTGTATTAACTCACTTTTTCCAGTTCAATGAACTTAAAATTTTAAGGCAACCAGGTTACTTACTTTTTTAAGTTAAACCATCAATATTTTTTTACATTGTAGTGTTTATGTTATTATTTATTTCTGCTTTAAAGATTGGTTCATAAGAATCATGAAATCATGAGATTAATATAGCTGTTGACAGCACGAGTTTTTAATGAAAAAGAAAGCAAAAATTATTAGAATATAGTTAATTTCAGTCACACTTACCTTTGAAAATATAAAGGCCATTTTGGAAACAGCTTTATTTCTTTGTAACATCCCACAATATATATATATATATATATATATATATATATATATATATATATATATATATGAAGAGTTCAGATGCAAAAGCCTCTAAGTGCCATTTGAAATTTTCTTCTAAAATGATCATTTTTATCAAGCTTGTATATTTAAGTTCAGTAATTTCACTTAAATGACAATGAAGATTACCTATGAATTGTCATTTAAGTGAAATAACTGAACTTAAATACACAAGCTTGATAAAAATGGTCATTCTAGAACAAAATTTCAAATGGCACTTAGAGGCTTTTGCATCTGAACTCTTCATATATATATAGTTGTCTTTATGTTTAACTCTTTCCCTGTTTATGGCGGAAATTTCTGGCTTTCTGTTTTCCCTGTTATGTGGTAGGGGGCGCTATAATGCGTCTTCTGATAGAGTAATGATCAAAACACAGGCGAAAAAGAATCAGAAACAAGCGATTGCATACTTATGTAAGCTGATGCATTTGTAAAATTTGCGATCATCAACATTACCTGTCGAGAAGAAAGCAGGCAACTTCAGTGACTTTCTCCTGGATTAGCTCTATCTACCACCAAAAATCAATCCCGACATTCACTCGTGTTTTTTGTATCCTCTGTTTCCTTTTACGATGATTTTTGGTCTGTTTTGGCGAAGAGTATTTCTTATCCAGTGGCTCGGCATGGGTATGGTCCGCCATGATATAAAAGTGACAAGCGCCTCTCTTTGCTCTGCTCCGTTTCTGCTGCTTTCAGTTACATTACGAGTCGTTGGCCTCAAAAAGGTTTAGTATGTATGTATTTATTTATTTGTTTGTATTGTGTTAACTTGCATATTTCATTTGAAAACATTACTACTAAACATTCAAGAAATCATATTTGCACAATATCACCATAGAAATTGCATTGTGTTGGATTGCACTCTATTGTGTAAGTTCTCTGTAACTCTTGCTTTGCTTCTACAATGCATATGACACATTGACATGCCCTTAGTTTTGATTTCTCAGCAATGAATATACATAAGTACAGTGCTTCCACTGAGACAGTGACTGTGATGTCAGGTTAGATTTGTTACATGGGTTTTTGTCTGCTTCCCCCCCATTCCCTTTAAAGGGCATTAAGTCAGACTAGCTTTACAGTTGATGGTTTCTGGCCCCACAATGTATATATAATGTATATATGTCATATCTGTTTCCCGAATGTTGTAAGTTTCTGGTACTGACATCAAGTGTCAGCCGTTAAACCCCAAAGGTATTTTCTGTTCTGACTTTATTTTTCCTGATATTTCTTGGTTTTTCAGAAACGCATGACAAACTACAGTATATCTGCATTATTTAGTATTTCAAAAAGCATTGCTCGTCCTTGGAAATATAAAGTGAACGTTAGATTGTTGCAACTGAAAAGATATTTTAGCAAATTGGCATCTGTAATGCAACTTGTCCTCTATTTTCCGAGATTCATTTGAACGTGTGTCTCTTTGAAATCATCATTTAGAGCGTCATTTACCTATGAACAACAGAATCAGCTGCGGCTCTCATAAGTGTTAATGGAAAAGCTAATGACAACAGAACATATGTTCACACATCAACTCTCCCTCTATCAGTCGTTTCTATCTCTCATTTGACTCACCACAGCTTTTAATTCCCAAAATGAGAGCTTGTTTTCCTAGGATTCAACTGCCATCGCTAATTGGAAAATTATTTTCTTCAGGTCTCCTGTTTGTATCTCTGGGCTTTTAAGAGAGATCTCTACATTGAAAAATTAGGCAAATGAACTCGCCAGAAAAATAACATTTTTTCTCCATGCATTTAAATATAAAGACCCTTCACACTGAAGGAGAGATTCATTAGCAGAATGTTGCAAAAGCTTGTTAGTGAGGCTCCTAAATGAAGATGGCTAATATAGTCAATGTGTGTTTGGTTATTACCTCTTATGAGGGCTGAGCTATTAGAGCTTTCAATGTCCTCACAATTATGCCACCCTTATTTCTGCATGCGCACAAACACATTACACGCTCAGGATGTGGGATATTTATATCTCGAGAAATTTAGCGAGACGTTCTGCTGCTTAAAATGCTGCTATACTAGTAGATAATTATTTTTTATTAAGACCAATATGATGAAGAAACAACAGCATTGAGTCACAGTCTGTCGGTTAGACACCTGGTGAAATGGCAATTGAAAGAAACTTACGTGCACTAAAAAGTGCACGCATTTACTTACTTTAGCCTATTATTAAAGACATTAAAGACCCAAAAATCTTCATTTCGTACCAAACCCGTATGACTTTCTTTCATCAGTCAAGGTAGATGTTAGGTGTAATGTTCACGCTGTTCTTTTCCATATAGTGGAAGTGAATGGTGACCAGGTACTGTGAAGGTACTTTTGCTGATAATTTACTCACCCCCATATCTTCCAAGATGTCCATGTCATTCTTTCTTCAGTCGAAAAAAAATTAAGGTTTTTGATGAAAACATTCCAGGATTTTTCTCCACATAATGCACTTTACTGGGAACCAAATGGTTCAAGGTCCAAAAGACGATTTCAGTGCAAACTGCAAACTGTTCAAAGGGCTTTAAACAATTTCAGAAGATGAATAAGGGTCTTATCAAGCGAAACGGTCATTTAAAAAAAAATGCTCAAATGGTCTTTTAAGCTCAAATGGTTGCCTTGCTCTGTTCTGTGATGTGCGTTCGTGATTCTCCTGTTCGAACTCGTTCATCAAAAATGAACGAATCTTTTTCCGAGTCAAAATGACACAAAAAAAGATTTGTTCATTTTGATGAACGAATTCGAACAGGAGAGTCACGAACGTGCTTCACAGAACAGAGCAAGGAAACCATTTGAAGTGTTAGTTTATGTAGTGCTAAAATAGTGCTAAATTGCAACAAAAAAAACATGTAACAAACCATCAGATAATCCAAAGCATGAAACATAATCTAGAAACCATAATCCTGGAAGCTGAACAGCATTCAAACTTCAATACATGACAAAATAACAGGGCAAATATGAACCTTAAATACACAAAAACTGCCTCCCAATTCGCATACTATCCATCCTAAATAGTATTCGAAAATAGAATTACTACATCCCAAATCGTATTATGTTGTTGTGAGTGTGAGTGTTCCAAAGAGACCCGGATGGTCGACTATATCCGGTCAGAATCCGAAGTGCAGATCGATACACACTCTAACGCCTGATATTGCCCACAACCCATCGCGCATTGGACGAGGATTCGGTTAGAACTACGAACACGAGTCAAAGTGTTAAAAAACTACAGATATGGAGGTGGTTGTGTAGAGAGGTTTATATAAAGGCGTTTAAGTGATTAATTATCAGTATCTAACCTGACGAAAATGTATTTATTCAATGTTGTCAACATTATTTTGCATCTGCAGCAGCATTGTGGACTATTTTAAAGATACGTTTATAGCCATTAACTTTTAAATGCATCATTACATTCAAACTGCAAACTCATGCAGAGATCTCACATGACGTGATCACATGAGGACAAGGGAATTGCATGACAAAACCAGAAAACAAGCAACCATGACTACAAAATAAAACTTAAAAGTAAAAATAAAAACTAAACTAAAAATACAAATGAGCAGAAAATTATTTTAATTGTAGATTTATACGTGTTATTGTAAAACTAGAAAGGAGTGATAATTTCAAATTTGTCTTCTTCTCATGTTAGGTATATCCAACGCATTTTCATCCTTTAGCGTCATATAGAATGCTATATGACAAAACGGCGCTATACTACGCACACGGCACCCGTTATCGTTAATATAACGTGCTGTGATGGTTAGATTTAGTTGTTGGGTAGGGTAGTCTCATATTACGCTAAAGGATTTATGACGCCTTGGTTTCGCGTGAATATTAACGATAAAGGGTGCCATGTGCGTAGTATAGCGCCGTTTTGTCATATAGCGTC